GGGAGGGGAATCCCTAGATCGAGAGGGGGAGGGGGAGCTCGGCGGCGTCCGATTTGGTTCCCCTCTCTGTCTCTGTATTTTCTGTGGTGTGGGGCTGCGGATTCGAATCGGGAGGTGTCGAGGGGGGTATCCCGTATTGGGGCGGTCGGGGTCGGGTCGGGGGAAGGAGAGGAGAGGGGAGGCGGGCGGGCGAATTGACCTTTATAGCCCCCATCTTCTTGGCTTAGGGAGCAAGAAGAACGTGGTTCGTTTTCGGGCATCCGATCCAGCCGATGGAATGATGGGTCATCCATCCGTCGTGGTCGTGCTCTTGCCGTTTGCCTCGCCGTCAGTCCTGCACTTTTGCTTGCAGAGGAAGACACCGGGAGCTGTTTTGGTTCGGATAAGTCCTCCGTTCCAAATTACTTGTCTTGGACTTGTCTAGATACAGATGTATCTAGACTCATTTTAATGTTAGATACCTCCGTATCTAGACAAATCTAAGACAAGTAATTTGGAACGGAGGGAGTAGTTTTAATCGCCAACAAGTTATCTATTGTACTCGCAGTAGATAATTTGATTAACTGGGTAATTATGTACAAGTAGCACTACATCTCTTTGTGCGAGTCATACTTCATTGTTTACATGACCTGACATGCAAGAACGATGTGTCATCTACCGTCTCAAAAGAAAAGAAAAAAGTTCGTTGTCGTACTAGTACGATTCTGTACATGTCCTGGCACACAAGTTTGATGGAACGTGTGGCCATGGATGAAGTCGTTGCATTGCTGTGAAAAATCAGCATCATCCGCGTACTAGCGTTGGTCAGTTACGTGGGTCGAAGGATGATAAAATGTAGTGCAAGTCTCTGCCAGACCACCTGTGAATGGTAGAACGGGGAAGGGTCAAGGGTGCGTCGCATTTCTTGCGCGGCGGGTCTCGCCGTTGAAGCCGACCCCGCACCCTGGCCGGCGACAGCAACTTCCTCGCGGGCGGGCGCGCGCACGAGGGGCGGTGGTGCGTGCGCCATCGCCACCGTCCAGGCAAAGCGGCGGCGAGATGGACGGTCCACGGGAGTCCAGCGCGCTCTTCTCACTGCTCCTGGAGACCTGGAGTAGTACGTGACGGTGATGGTGCGGCCATTGACTGTGTACGGCCCACCACCAGGGCGACCCTGCTGATGGCGACCTCTTCGTGGCGCCCACCAGTGCCGAGACACCGTTTTTCTTCTTCTTCTCTTCCGTTGTTTGATTTGAGGTTGCAGCTGTGTTGTGTATTGAACAATCGAGAGAAGTGATCATTGAAGACGTTGATACTGGAGCTGGCTGGCACGATCGTTTCCCAGATCACGCACCGTTGTCCCCCGCTGGAAGTTTTTCTTTTTTTTAGAAATCCGCTGGAAGTTGTTGGGCCTCCGAGCGCGGTGCTGGGCTGGACGTACGATCCAAACCCATGACTGATTGAGACCACCCTTGCCTTATGTAGGATCTATTTCTCGCCAGCTGCGAGACATAAGTTATAGTCTCGCCTATGGCGCGGCGCTACTACGTCGACACACTATTGTAGGTGCCTGACGATTTTTCCTCCTTGTGGCTTTCTTTATCTATTTTTCAGGTTTTTTTGTTTTCTATTTATTTTGGTTTTCTTTTTTTGATTTTCATCGGTTTTCTTCAGTTTTTTCCATACACATTATGTATTTGTTTTACGTATACATTAGGAAAATTTCTTATACACAAATATTTTTTTTAGATACATGATGATGTTTGGTGTCTACTTTTTCATGCACATTGTACATATTTTTATATATATGAAACAAATATACGCATTTAACAATTCTCAAATACAAGATTAACATTTTCTAAATACATGTTTTGAGGGGAAATATTTGATTACATGTTAGACAAAATTCAAATACAGACTGCAACTTTTTTGAATGATACATAACATTTTTTACATTGTGTAATTTTTTTTAAATGTCACAATTACCTAGACATTTTTAAAATGTAACATACATTTTTAATGGTATGATTTTTTCACATTATATAATTTTCCCAAAAATGTCACGTACAGTTTTTTGAAACACAAGAACATTTTTAAAATGCCACATGCTCTTTTTGAATGGTACAAACATTTTCTAAAAACTGAGCCACATTTTTTTTACTGCATGAACATTTTTTAAATGTGTGGTGAACACTTATAAAAACTTAACTAAATTAATTTTGCATAACATGAGTATTTAGTATTTTCCTTCAAAACATAAACAAAAGTACAGAAAAAAAGGAAAAAACACGTGTGTGACGACAACGTGACGAACCCACATGGCTACCGGTCTGACCCACTACCAGCTCCTTGTAGGCGAGTCGAGATACTGTAGGAAGTGTGTCTAGAGAGGAGTGAATAGACTAGTTGCCAAATTTAAATGACTCTTTTCCCATTTAAAATTCTTGGCATATTTTAGCTTTAGCTAGCAAATCAAATAACACACACACACATGCAGTTCTAGAATATAGTGAAGGAAATATGCCCTAGAGGCAATAATAAAGTTGTTATTTATATTTCCTTATATCATGATAAATGTTTATTATTCATGCTAGAATTGTATTAACCGGAAACTTGGTACATGTGTGAATACACAGACAATCAGAGTGTCCCTAGTATGCCTTTACTTGACTAGCTCGCTAAACAAAGATGGTTAAGTTCCCTAACCATAGCATGTGTTGTCATTTGATAAACGGGATAACATCATTAGAGAATGATGTGATGGACAAGACCCATCCGTTAGCTTAGCATAATGATTATTTAGTTTTATTGTTATTGCTTTCTTCATGACTTATACATGTTCCTCTGACTATGAGATTATGCAACTACCGAATACCGGAGTAACACCTTGTGTGCTATCAAACGTCACAACGTAACTGGGTGATTATAAAGATGCTCTACAAGTGTCTTCGATGGTGTTTGTTGAGTTGGCATAGATCGAGATTAGAATTTGTCACTCCGTGTATCGAAGAGGTATCTCTGGGCCCTCTCGGTAATGCACATCACTATGAGCCTTGCAAGCAATATGACTAATGAGCTAGTTACGGGATGATGCATTACGGAACGAGTAAAGAGACTTGTCGGTGACGAGATTGAACTAGGTATGATGATACCGACGATCGAATCTCGGGCAAGTAACATACCGATGACAAAGGGAATAACGTATGTTGTTATGCGGTTTGACCGATAAAGATCTTCGTAGAATATGTAGGAGCCAATATGAGCATCTAGGTTCCGCTATTGGTTATTGACCGGAGATGTGTCTCGGTCATGTCTACATAGTTCTCGAACACGTAGGGTCCACACGCTTAACGTTCGATGACGATTTGTATTATGAGTTATTATGTGATTTGATGACCGAAGATTGATCGGAGTACCAGATGAGATCACAGACATGACGAGGAGTCTCAAAATGGTTGAGAGGTAAAGATTCATATATTGGAAGGTTGCATTCGGACATCGGAATGGTTCCGAGTGATTCGGGCATTTTTCCGGAGTACCGGGAGGTTACCGAAACCCCCCGGGAAAAATCATGGGCCTTATGGGCCATGGGAGAGAAGAGAGGACATCCCACAAGTGGAGTCCAAATAGGAAGGGGAGGGGGCGCCCCCCCCCCTTTCCCTCTAGCCCCTCCTCTCCTTCTCCATTTCCCCCTCCGTAGAAAGGAAGGAGGGGGCCGAATCCTACTTGGATCGGGAGTCCAAGTAGGACTCCTCCCTTGGCGCGCCCCCTCTAGGGCCGGCCTCCTCCTCCCCCCTCTATATACGTGGGAGGGGGGCACCCCAAAGGCATACCAAGTCTTCTCTTAGCCGTGTGCGGTGTCCCCCTCCATAGTTACACACCTCGGTCATATTGTTGTAGTGCTTAGGCGAAGCCCTGCGCCGGTAACTTCATCATCACCGTCAACACGCCATCATGCTAATGAAACTCTCCCTCGTCCTCAACTGGATCAAGAGCTCGAGGGACGTCATCATGCTGAACGTGTGCTGAACACGGAGGTACCGTACGTTCGATGCTAGGATCGGTTGGATCGCGAAGGCGTTCGACTACATCAACCGCGTTACTAAACGCTTCCGCTTTTGGTCTACAAGGGTACGTGGACACACTCTCCCCTCTCGTTGCTATGCATCTCCTAGATAGATCTTGCGTGATCGTAGGAATTTTTTTGAAATATTGTGTTCCCCAACATATAGGCAGCGGAAATTAGACATTCCAAGTGATAGTAATGTGGAGAGTAGAGTTTGTAGATACACCAACGTAATGCTGACACGGAAGATTTTGACCCGTGGTTCCGATAGGTGGTGCGATCATACGTCCATGTTGATGGAGGCTTCGATCTCAAAAGATTATGGTTGCGAGATTCCATGGAGTAATCGAGTCCACGAAAAGCTCACCCACAAAGGGTCCACGATGAAGCAACATTGCCTATCCCACCATGACTTACGTCCATGAATGACTAGTTTCACTTAGGGTAGATCTTCATGAAGCAGGTGATCTAGAAGCCAACCACCTGACTTTCGCCTCAAATTTTTGTGCCTCAGCCTTCCCAATGGCAACGTCGTGTAACTCCTCATCGAGAAACTCCATGTTCTTTAACATCTCTTCTAGATTGATCCTTCCTTGCCCGACTACGATGAAGAATCCCTCTATGTTGCCATGGCGGTGCACTAGGTTTATCACAAATTCCACATTGCGAAAAGCTATTCCTTGTTTTGCCTTTTTTATGCAATATAGCCGATATGTCACTAATTGAGCATTGGAACGAGTATTTGCAAGCAATAAACAACAACATTAATTTAAAATGCAAATTTGTGCAAATAAAATATTGGGACAAATAAAATGCAAGTTTTTGCACAAATAAAACATTAATATATTGGGCAACACGCACATGACATAGATATCAGTAGCACCCTTACAACTTAGCACAACATAGCACGACATAGACCAAAGTGCACGGTAGACACGGCACAACATAGATCAACCCTAACACACAACAGGACCAACACACAACACCGAACACGAGTTGGACCTACACCACCAAGTTCACTTCGGGTGCCCGTTCACTCCTCATCCTCAATGTGGCAGGCGAGTGTGTTCATGCCATTGGCGGTGGGGAAGATGTTCTCGAAGTTAGAGAAGATGTCGTGGGTGGTGAAGGCGATGAAATCGCACCCACATCAAAAGACTTGGCCGAGGAGGAAGGAGGCACCGAAGGGGTTGGTGAAGTGAGCAAGGAGCCCAATTGTAAGGGTTTCGTTGCCACAAACCTCTTCGAGGTGGAACATCACCGGAGAGCCTCGTGGGAGGTGGCGGTAGCCGGCCCCAACGAAGAAGTTTGCTAACTCCCTTTGACCCCTCCACCTTAATATCGCCCACACCCAGATGGTGTTCTCCATGAAGACCCTGGCGGCATACTACCACTCCGGCACGGTGGCCGGCGCACGGTAGGTTGGGCCATTGAACTTCATCTTGTCTTGGACGGGATTTGTCTTTTGCTTTGGCTTTTGGTGAAGAAGAAGGGGCACAGATGGATGTGAGATCGAGTGAAGAGGAAGAGGTAGACAAAAGGTGTTTAAATAGGCGTGGTGCACCGTTTCACCGCTTTCATCGTGGCACTACCCTCCCCTAATAATGACAATAATAGCCCAACGGAGCCCTAGGCATTTTTCACACTGAATCGAGGCATGTCGATCGGTAAATCGAGGTTGCACTAGTTGCGCTGATGCAATGATTCTGAGTGGCTCTGCATCGAGCGGTTACTGCATTGGCCGGTGGAGCGTGCTTGTGGTTTTGCGGCTGGCATGCGTGGCCGCGTACATGTTGGGTCGGGTAGCTGCACACGCAAGCATGGCAACGTGGTGGTTGCACGTGCATGCATGGCAGGCCGAGCCGGTGCCCATTCTACGACGAACGGACCAAAGAACGACGACCCAATGGTCTGACGAGCGCGCCCAACCGAATCCATGCATTTGAAAAAAAAAGTCCAGCCAA